GATTTTTCTGCTATGGTTGATGGAAAAAGTGAGGAGATGCCAACTAAAGAATTGTTTGGAGGAGCCAGGATCCACTACCTTTTTCAGTCAATGTTTGTAAGTTCTTAGAGGTATGATTCTGTCTTTCTGAACCTCTTATGTAATGGATGCTCTATCATTTTTGTGTCACCTGGAATCTTCTACGCTTAAGAACTAGAAGCTTAACTGTATTTTTTTATAGGAGATGGACCCTTGTGAAAAGCTGACTGACGAGGATATTGCCTATGCCCTTAGAAATTCCTCTGGTCTAAGAAACGTTCTATTTGTCCCAGAGGTGAGTACAACAGTCAAATTGCTCTCTTTTTGACTTTTGCATTGCTGAAATTAGTGGCTTATAAATCATGTATTTCATTGAGTTTCAGGCTCCATTTGAAGTTCTGGTTAGAAGACAAATTGCTCAGTTGTCAGACCCTTGTCATCAGTGTCTATGGATTGTGTATGATGAACTAATAAAGGTGAGAATAGTGCTTATTGTTGTGCTGGGATCATTTTACCTATTGAAATTATGAGTTCAATATGTGGATATGATGAAGAGTAAATTTTGTCCAACAGATTAGCCAGGCTTGTGAATCAACTGGATTGCAAAGATCCCCATCATTAAGAAGGAACGTAACTGAAGCTGTACGGAAGTTTTTAGATGCTGCTGCTAAGCCTGCTGAGACAATGATAAGAAACCTCTTTGAGATGGAGGTTATTGATTTCTTGCCATCCTTTCTTTATATGATACCCACAATAATATAGGAATTATGTGTATCGTGCGCATAATGATATCTATTGGGTACCATAAAAAATATGGCATGATAAGGAGTTTCTTCTAAAACCTAGGGTAGACACGTATATATGCATGTAGTTTCATGTATGGAACATATGGACCCCTTACGAAAATATACTTTGGGTTAAAAGGATGGTAAGAAAAATAACAATTTTGAAATGCTTGATGAAAATGTTATTTTTTTATGGGTAGCCTACTTGAATTAAGAGAACTTCAGACAGTGTTGTGACTTGTTCGGTGATTCTGTAATTTTATTTTGCATGTGAATCTTCATGCACATTCACTGATATTTTAATTTGATCAGTTTCCATTTATTCATCCACTTAAGTTTAGATGGATTTAGTTAGCACCCTCTGTATATAACAAATTTTACTATTATAGCTTTCTGAATTAATTTTAACACACTTTTATGATTCACCGAGATATAAGCTACCATGTCTTCTATGACAATCGTATATTTGAATTGTTCTATCATTCATGATTATGAATTTTATTTTGGCGTTCTTTAAACATCATATGGATTATATAAATTCTTCGCATCCAAGTTCTATTGGTGGCAGTAAAGCTGTTGAGCTGTGCAGCAAATGAGATCATCAAAGGTATAGATTTCATTCCAATTGGTTAAGTGTTGTTGTAGGGTTGTAAGTTAGCCCTTTAGCATTTTGTTATAGTTTTATGTTGCTCACTGTGGTTCAGTATTCATCCACCTCTATGAGACTGACTATTGAGAATACAAGTTTAAATTTGTAAGATGTCATTTCAAAGGTATAGATGGCTGGAGGGATGTGAAATTGTATCAAAAGCATGTATTATGACATCTATTTTATTGTTACAGAAATGAAAGCAAATGATTGTTTTGAAATCTCTGTCTAAGGTTGATTCGCATGTGACAAAATCTATTTGAATTTACTTAATTACAACTCTATATTGGCAACTAATGATTCTATCACGACTTCTCAAGTTCTCATTATTAGTTGATTAGTTGTTCTGCAACAAAAAATGGCCACATTTTTTTTACTTTAAACATGATATATATACATTTACTTCATCTTTGTATCATTCAAGAGAGACTGGATAATGAAAAGGTACCTACATCTGAGAAGGGCCAAATATCCCGAACTGCTGCAGCTCAATCAGTTGTGAATGGTGTTTCTATCCAGGTGTCTGTTTTTACATAAAGCCCTCCAAGCTTGTCCAAGCTCTAGGCTTTTACCTTGTGATATATTAGGTTTCTTATCTGTCTGTGCTAAGATATCTTAGTATCCATTTTCAAGATGGTATAAATGAAATTGTCTATGAGCACCCTATCAAACAAGCTCCATTTATGCCCTTAATTTGCATCTTCTTGAAGTCCTAAACTGAGTCACAATCTCAACCCTCAATTATTTTGAAGTTCTTATCCTTATCTGTCTAGTTCGTACCCTTTTTAGCCGAAAAGGGGAGGAAAAAGCGGAAAGAACTGTAAAAATCGGGAAATAGAAATCATTTTTAACATTTCCTTTTTAAGCACTTAACCTATGATGGTATTGTGGCAGGTGAATCGTCCTCAGTCAAATAATGAGCTACCTGTATTAGCTGGTAATTTACTCTCAACTGCTAGTCAAAGTTTGTTTGTCTCATTTATTTATTTTTCTCACTTGATACTTGTATGACTGGTTAACTGATTTTTTATGATAAGGGAAATGCAATGGCAGAAAGAATTTCTTTTACATTTTGTAAAAAAATGAAATTCCCTCTGTGTGTGTTCGTGATTGATGTGGATCAAATGTTTTGGTGTATCAAGAGTGCACCTCAATTTCGAGATTTGTATAATATGTACGATAACATTTCACGTGGCAGAAGATATAGTATGAGATGGGTGTATATTGTGCTTCATTCTGTTGAAGCAACTTATTCATATAGTTTAAATCCAATATGGAGACTGTTGCACTTCTCTGTTTGTCTTACGTACTAAAAAACATAAACTCATTTTTATGGTATTTCCATCTCCGAGATGATAGACGGGTGGGTCCAAATTTATCAATGCAGAAAATTGGAACAGTTTTGTAGTTGCAGAAAAAAATTCCATTATTTCTGAATCTTCTAGCCAAGTTTATAACATGGACACAGATGATACCCATAGGCCTTTGCATAAACATTTTTATAAGTCCGTTTATTTATAACCATCAACTTAGGTAACTGTTATTTAGGTGGCAGTTCATCCACGAGCAAGTGGGGCATTTCTTCAATATTTGGGAGCAAGGCATCATCTAGAGGACCAGCAGCTACTGAATCTGCGGAAGGAACTCTGCATCTAGCAGAACATATGACATCAATGATCCAACTGAGAGAGGTAAACATTCTCAGCCATGTGCTTCTGTGTGAGAGACCGGAGACCGCTTTGTTTCTCTTTAATAGCAAAATTATCTTACCTGTCCTAAATTCACTTCCTTCATGTTTTCCGCTGATTATCTCAGCCTCTCTCAATCTTTAGACCACTTGAAATGTCGGGCAATGAATCTACAAAAAATAATTGTCACCAAAATAATTGTGAAATCCTACTTTGATATAGTCCGGAAGAACATTTAAGACTTGGTACCAAAGGCTATAATGCATTTTCTAGTAATACTGTTTCCTTCGTCCCTTGTTGGTCAATTTTGAACTTTTATTCTGATGAATCTCAAATGCGTCCCCTCCCCCGTTTTATCAATATTCAGGTCAATCATACAAAAATAAACCGTCATAACACTTTTATACAAATACTGTAACTGTATGTCTCCTGATTTTGGTTGGTGTTTTAGAATACATAATGTTTTTGTTTTCAATTTGTTTATTTGGCACCACCCAGTAGTTGTGGGATGGCTGACATTATTTTCCAACATGAACTCTTGAAATAATGTTAGTCATGGAAATATTGTTAGTACATCGTGTTTTAGTTTTCATTTTGCAGAATAGGCAAATGGGGGGAAAATGTTTATTCGGCACCCAGTATCTATGGCTGGCATTATTTTCCAATATGAGCTCTTGAAATAATGTTAGTCATGGAGACATTCGTGCTCTAGTTCCCCCAAAAATTATGCTCCAAATCGTTAAAGGAATAAAATGTATACAAACAGAAAAGGATAATTCTATTATCTGACGTCATTTAATTCAATCTTTAAGAATGTGCAAGCCTAACATGTTTTCTTCAGAAATAATTAATGCACAGTTTTGCACTTATATGAACGTAGTTTTCTCTTTTTCCCTCCTTTTCGTTGTTATCATTGTGGGGATTTCTGTATGCATGTTGTTCAAGTTACTGAAGTTAACTTTTGGAATATGCAGTCTTTTTGAAGAGCTGTTGCAGGAGCAGGACGAAGTTGTTGCGAGATGAAAGCAGGCGAAAGAACCTTTGCGTGTTATGAGGCAAGCTGTTAAGGTTTGTAGTTACTTTAATTTGTTTACACTGAGGGAAATGTTTATGCTACTGGGCAGCTTATTTTTTTTCTTTAATTATTTTGAAGAAGTTTCTTTAACGTTTAAATTTATTTCCTTAATATAAACTATTGTGTTCAGTTTTTTAATTGAAGTAGAATAACTTGTCATTCTTCTACCATTGGGCTTTCATGTTATCATGTTCCTTTCTTTTGACTGAAAATGTTCTTCTGCCTGTCTTAAACGCTAAATGGGGTTGAATCTGATGTGGAGTTCCAGCATCGGACTACAAACCTCATTGCTGATATTAGTCTCGGATTACCAAAATTTCCAGATCTCACCAACGGTAAGAGAAGTTCATCTCATATGCCGTCATCCAGTAAGTCCAGAGCTCGTAAACTACTCTACTCGGAAGAGCCATCATTGTCTTTCGGTTCCAATGCTGGGGTACATCATTAGACTTCCGTAATGCATGTCTCGAATCCCACTGATTGAATTTGGTGCTTGCCAAGTGAATGCTTATTCCGCGAGTACAGTTTACGGAGTTTCATACATTACAGTGAAGTTTGGCTAGGTAGATTTGCTATTTCAATATTCTTTTCTACATACAAGTTTTGTGTTCATATATGAGAAGAGAATAGTTCAATTTTGCCCTACACAAGTTTGGTTTCGTGTTGTTTGAACATTTCATTTTTATTTAGGTATCATCTCTATATTAACATTTGTAGTTGAAATATATTTGGATATGATACGGATATGGAATATGATTATTTAATCTATCAATAAACTAGGGAAAATGAGTAACAAGAAAGTACTGCTGGTTTCGAAATCACAATCTCCTATGTACTCTTATGAAGTTTGTCGTGTTCATTGCAACGACAGTGGAGCATGCATAGACTCCGCCCAAGCACAAGGTTGCAAACGCAAGCAGAAATGCCTTCCACTGTTTGCTGGATGCAAGAATTGCCAAAGCGGTAAGCACCAGAGCCGCTGCACTAAGCCTATTTTTCCAAATCGTAAAATCTTTCACAACTCTACTGCAACCCTTGCAATGGATTATATGGCGGAAATATCGGTTAGACAAATTCGGAGCATGCATTGTTCCGATCCCACCTTTAGCCGGCGAAGATGCTGAAACTCCTGCAACGAGTCCGGCAGGTGCATGTTCTATGACTGCAGATAGTTTAGGTGGAGATACGGTGCTGTGACCGAAATGGTAAGGCATTCCATGCCCAACTTTATCCATCCATTTCCTGTATTCAGCAACCCAAGTATCAGAAGACTTTAAATTAAGGTACAACTCTTTCGTTGGAACCTTTTCTTTCACGAGTACCTCATTCTGGGATGACAAAAATCCCATATCTTGCTCAAAGACCTTGTTTCCAGTTTGATGGAAATACCATTCCGGGAAAAGCTTTGCCAATGGAGACCTTTTTGTTCCTCCAAACCTAACAATAAGCATAGACTTTCCTTGTCCGGTTGGCCTACAAAGGAAGAGACCCGTGAAGTAGTGTTTTTCTCCATCTTTATCAACAATTTCTCTGTTATTCTGAAGAACGCACGGTGCGTCGAACCGTGAGAAGTTGGACATGGATCCATCTTTTTCTCTACCCCACCAACCAGCAAATCCCCTATCAGAACGGTCTGTAACCTCAAAAAGCAGCGGCTGAGCATCTTCCCTTTTCGCACTCCAATCGGTTCTATCATGAGAGATAGGGACATGTGCAGGATCCATGAGGTTCTCAAGGAGAATGGAGTGATCATATGGAAGCTCATGGATAGCTGACATATCTCGAAACCCCGGTCTGGCGAAATTCTCGAACCATGGTAGCTTTTCGGGGTTTGGTGGAGTGGTGTGTGACATCCATACCCATACAACTCCTTGGGACTCTTTCACCTCATATGTTTTAAGGCAAGCTGAGCGAGGAATCTTGGCATCAGCTGGAAGCTGAGGTATCTTAACACATTTTCCTTTGCCTTCAAATTGCCAGCCATGGTACAGGCATTCAAGTCTACCTTCGACCAATTGACCTTCAGATAACTTGGCTAACCTTAAATCAAGAAGAGCTACAGTCATGCTCAAGTTTTTAACTCAAACTTGTGGCAAGAGATTTACCTGTGGGGACATCGATCTCGATAACAGTGAAGCGTGCCGTTGCCATCTTTATACAAGACGAGCTGCTGATCGAACACGGTGAGACCGAGAGGAGCATCGTCAGGTACATCCTTGGTGAGGTAAAGAGGGTACCACTCCTCTGTCCAATTATAATCCGCCACGACCCTATCCTCCTCACTTGATGAACCTATAACAACGTTATGATCATCGCCTTCTGCTTTGCTCTGGTCCAGAGATGATGCACTCTTCACATCAGTCACTGCATGGCATCTTATCTGGTTGTTGCTCAAGCTACCTGGTCTGAAACCAAGTAACGGGTTGTCGATGATTATGGTTTGTTTTGTTAGTTTTGAGGCGGGAGGGGGCTTAGATAAATAAGTAGTATGAGACAGACATTGACTCAGAGATAGAGCCATGATATTATTGGTATGAATAACCGTGGCTACCAGAAGGAAGAAGAAGAAGGGATAAAATAAGAAAGCAGTGGTATCAAGTGTGAAGGCTGGTTGTTGCTTGCTCTATGACAACCACACATTCGTAAGTTCACCCAACAAGGAGCAGCCCAGCCCTGGATTTTGTCATTTGCTTAGCCCTTTCCCCACTTCACCACAGTCGTGGTTCCCTTTTTAAGAATATTAGGTTGTGCTCATCAAATAAATCTAGCAAATTTAAAATTCAATTAAATTATGATATTTCGATATTTTATAATTTCTTTTTGAATGATTGAAAGGCAAAAGTCATTATATCAGGAGATAACTAAACGGCCACGGGGGCATGTAATGCCGAAACTGGCAAACCCGTTATGAGATAACTTTTACACCTTACCAAATATTAGTGCAAATAATTAAACACCATGTTGCCGAAAACAAAATTAAACTCATCAGCTAGCAATTAAACTATTATTTTTTCCCTTTCTCTGGTGTGTTTAGTTTCCCTTCATCTTTTATGAACATATCAGGGTTTGGTCGAATCTGGTATCCAAAAGAACCCGTTTTCCATCTAGGAAAAGATCTCATCCCTCGTCTGCTTTAGACCTACATTTGTTCATATATTCCCTCCTGCAGATACTAATGGGAAGTGTGTATGAATAGTTCATGGAATCCATTAGAGGGAACATCTTTTTGTTGGTCAACTCGTTGTTCAATCTTTTTTTTCCCTCATCTGGAAATTTAGAAGGTTCGTCATTGTTCTAGGAATCGCAGCTAGTGTTGCTGTTGATCGAATATGCATGATCAAGTTCATTGTTGACTTTCACTGAGCTTATATATATGGTGGAAGAAGAGAATATGGAAGAAGCCTGTAGGAAGGCTGTGGAGGAAGATGATGAACCCCAGGGACTGTGTTACTTGTTTTGGGGTCCAATACATTGGTTTAAGATGCTTGCGGTTGAAATGCATTCGAGCTTCGTGTTCGGAGTTGTGTCCATTTATGGGATAAATTAGGGGTTCGGAGGCGCTCTTTCTCGCATTGGAACCGAGTATTACATGAAGGATGTTCAGAAGGTGCAGCCTTCCGAGGCTCAGGTTACTTCCATCCCTTGGATTATCAAGCCTGTTTGGGGTCTTCTCACAGATGTTCTTCCGATAATGGGGTATCGGAGAAGGCCTTATTTCGTTTTATCCGGTAAACCAGCACGTTTCTGTTTCGTACTCTTCTTTCATTGCCTATTAGATACTGCCATTACATTTGTATATCCTGCATACATATCATGTATTTATACAGCTTCCATATTTTGAATGTTCAGCATCATCCTAAATCCTGATCATGTGCTCTGAGTATAAAAATGTTCTATATTTTCTACAAATAACATAATTGGCTAGACAATAATTAGGAAATAACACTATTGGTTATTATGATTCTTAGTTGATGAGTATAAAAATCCTAATCACAGGTTTGCTTGGTGTTGTTCCAATGCTTTTCATATCATTGAAAAGCAAGATGCAACTGGTATTTGCCATCCTGACACTAACAGCAGGAAATGTGGCGGTAGCCGTAGCGGATGTAACCGTTGATCCATGCTTGGCACAGAACAGCATTACTTGTCCTTCTCGTGCAGCCGACATGCAAAGCTTGTGCGCTTTGAGATACTCTTTTGGAGGATTCGTGTGAAGCTTGGTTATGGTGTCAGCTGCAGTGATTAAGGTGATGTCCACGTACCAGGCTTTGGAGACGAGGGCTACGGTAGCTCGAACGAGAGCTATGGGGCTTGTGGAAGCTTCCGGGGAGGTTATCAGGTTGTAAGGATCAGCACTGTCTGTTTGACATTGAACTCTTTCGAATGTGAGGGACCATGCGAGCGAGAGGCCTTCGTGGGTTCCCCACAGTTCAGTTTCTAGAACAGATGAGGGGCCAACGAACCTGTTAAAGACAGTTAAGAAGTCACCATCTTAGTTTCGAAGAAGACCTCCACACGTTTCCAGGGAGGAGTGGTTATTCAAGGCTCCAGTGCTATTTAATTGGGTGATTAATTACATTACAGCTGCCTCATCATTATCACTTCATATACCGATGAGCCTTTACCTTCGAATACTGGACATAAACGAAATGACTTACACCATCCTCCTCTTTAATTGCTTCCCCGCCTACTTATTTGCTTAACATGAACCAAACATCATTCAACATTGCTTTCTTATCTATTCAAGTTCCTATCTTTGCTGTGTCATTTCCATTTACATTCTATGTCAGGTGAAGAAATGAATTCCTATTCTATAAAAGTTTATGAAATGGCTGCAAATTTATGGCCGGAAAATTATAGTTTTCATCCAGCTGCAGAGAGAGCATTGAGAGGAACGGATTTTGAGAACTTAATGAAGCTCACAAAACCTGCAAACCGGAATTATCCGCTTATAACAGCAGTGTTGAATATGTACAATGCAAAAGAAAGGTGCTGAGTTTGGGAAGAAGAAAAATCATTTTAAACTATTTATGGGATTGGGTAATGTTTTAAGAATCACCGGTCTGCCGATAGATGGTTTACCTATGCAAAAAGTGAGATTAGTTGTTTCTTTAGATTAAAAAAGGGGGTGGAAATCGTACATTTTTACTACACAAAATGGTATATCCATGACCATGAGTGTCCCTAATGATCTTGAATCCATTGCCGATTAGTTGGAAGCACTAGACTTCAACTTTCTCATTCTCTGGTACAAGTTCCAAGCCCTCATCATCCGGTGCGACAGTTGAATTTTTTGTCAAAATGTCGGGAGGAATCAAAGCATCCGATTGGTCAGCCTTGGGTACAAGAAAAATCAAACCCAGAGTTGCAATTCTCAGAATGTTTCTAATGAGAATAACCAACCACAGGTTTCTAAAATCTGTCCTAGTGACATGGAACATGTGAAGAACCATTCCTCCACCCCATTTGGATGTCAAGGAACCAAGGCTATCGATGCACATTAACAATGCAAAAAATGTGCCTTCGATGCCTATAGGGCAAAGCCTTGTGCTTAGTACCATCATGGGAATCCACCGTATTCTGCTTATAATACGCGAGACGCATTCCTCTGTGATGACAAAGAAGTAATCTGGAATTCCGACCGCCAAGTTCCATCGAAGAATGAAGATCAGATCGAGCATTCCGGATGTGCCGTAAAGGAGTTGAGCTAAAAAGAGTAGGTTTCTGAATGGAAGGTCTTTGAGCGTCTTGTGATAGATCAGAACCCCCACCATTGAAGCCATTGCACCGATTGCATATATGATCCCAACAAATTCCTGCTCATAAGAAGCCATCAATTGAAAGAACTGTGAAAGTCTTATTACAGTCAGAGCATTGTAGTTTTTAGCTAGTAAAATGAGAAACCTGAGAAAATGCAGGACCAGCTTTAGGATCAGTGTACCAATAAAACTGGCCTTCATGAGTACTGATACTGAGAGCCAAAGAGAGGTACATGTAGAGCGATGGCTTCCACACTTGAGGGAACTTGATTGTCTGATACATTCCCCTTATGGCCACCCCTAAGTTTTCCATTGTCTGTATGAACTCAAATGTTTTACCAAATTGAAACAACATAGTAATTTGCAGGAGACTGGAAAAAAAATAGAAAATCAAACCTTCTGCTTCTCATAATTAAGGCCGGACGATCTCATTTCATAAATCACGAATCCTAACACTGTGATGAAAACTGGTGGCATTGCCAAAAGAATTAAAGCTCCCTGATATAAAGAAGAACGTTCTCAGGGTTTTGACCACATTGGTTTCACTAAAAACATAATCAAAACTCAAATTTATGATCTTTCAACACAAGCAAAACTAACAATTTCTAAGACCAAGCCTAGTGATTCTGACCAGTTTCTCAATCTTCAACCACCTAAATCCAGTCCCAAACAATGATAAAGAAGCTAACCTGAGGTCCGAGATAGTGAACGAAAAATCCACTGGTGGAGTAACCAATTAAAGCCCCAGCAGAGGAGCAAAACCCACAAAGGCTCTGCATGTCGGGAGCCAAAGATCGGACCTCGATACTGTTCCTAGCAATACACGCATCAATTGTCACATCTGCTATAGCCATGCCTGCTGCAACCCCAATCAAGCAAGCCAATGCCACAGCAGCCGGCAAGTTACCAATAACAGCAACCATCAGAGCAGAAGCACCGCCAAGAACACCAGCAACCACAAAGTATGGTCTTCTCCTATATCCCCTTATCGGAAAAACATCAGTGAGTAAACCCCAAATAGGTTTCATGATCCATGGAATATAGTACAAACCAATGTAGAGTTGAACCACCGAGGGCTGGACTTTCTGAACATCTTTCCAATAGTAATCCGTGACCACTTTGAAGAACGACCCGGAGAAACCTAAGTTGAGGCCGTAGACTAGAACTATCCCAATGATGAAACTTGGATTCAGCTGAGAAGATAGCATCTGTATCCATTGAATCGGCTCGATGAAGACCGACAAAATGTTGTTTTTCTTGCAGGTTTCAGCTTTGGTCTGGTTTGAAACGTGGGCAGATTCTTCTACAACGAGTCCTTCTTTCTCTGATGGATCCATTTTCGAAGTTGAGAGGAACTATTGATCCGCAAACGGGGCTCTGGATTACACTTTTGAGGACAGCAGAGAAACGTTGACTGCAAGATCTTCACATTCATCTACGACCTACCCTAGTTATTCACACGAGACAAAAATAATATTATTGCTTGATCTGGAGAAGTATGCATGACACCCTATTTAAAAACGACAACTTTGTTTTAGAAAAGTTGACGAATTTGGCCATAGTTGACTATTTTATTATTTGTCAAATTTTATAGAAGGTCCTCTAACTATGCATTTTTTAGGGGATTAGTCCTACGATAATTAACTATAATGACTTTTAAACACTTATCCAACTAAAAGAAAAATGCATGATTACATAATCACATAACGTATTTAAAAAGATAACTACGACGAGAAAACACATTTGTTCGGTTGATCAAACTATTCATTTTTTTCTCTCATATTTCTTAGGCATGAAAACTAAATTTAGTATTTTAAGAGATTAAATTCAGAGAAAAAAGAAAGTACATACTGTAAGGACGTTTGTTGCTATTTGACCTTTATCATATATTTATTCTGAAAGATGATTTTTTCATCCCTACGGTGTGGAGTAGTTAGCTGCTCGGGAAATTTTATTTTTATTATTTTAATTTTATTTAAAGGAATTGACGTCTTATCTTATTAACTTAATTAATACTAATTAACATTACATCCGATGGGATTACATGAGGATTGATATTTACTTGCTTTCTACCTCTACTTGTTTATGTTGCGAAGCCCAATCTGTGTTGGGAACTTGATAGAGCAAGAAGCCAAGCCTAGAATAACCTGCATTAATTATAATATAAGGAGTTGGTCGCTCGACAAATCAGGTGCAACTTGATCTAACTAAGCTTCCATTTAATTTAAGGGTGAACTACATCATATACCACCGAACTTTAAGCGTTATATCATTTATGCTACTGGATTTTAATTTTGTTTACTATAGAACTGAATTTTGATTTTCTTTTCAATTATATCACTGAACCGGTAAATCATTAAAGACTCGATGACACGACTAAAAGCTACCGAGGTGGCTGACGGCTTTCAATGTAGACACATTACTAAAACGACATCGTTTCGATTCGACTGTTAACGATTTAGTGGCCCAGTGATATAATTGAAACTAAAACTACAGTTCAATGCTATAATCGACAAAATTAAAAAAATTTAATGGTATAAACGATATATCACCCAAAGTTCAATAGTATCTAGGGTAGTTTACCCTTAGTTTAATTACCAAACACGTCGCACTTGTTTGTTCTACTTCTGTGATCTACCTTTTTTTACTTTATAAAGAAAAAAATGGAAACATTACAAATAATGACAAAAAAACACCTCAAAAGTCAGAATATTTAGTAAATTGCATTCTGTTGAAGGGATTTGGATTATTTAGAATCTCAATCCCTTTATTTAACGAAAATTTAAAAAAAAATCCAAACTCTAAATATAAATCTTAATCTTTAAAACTTTAAATATGAATTTAAAATTATTTATTCTAAATATTAAATAGCATATATAAAACTAAATAAAAGAAACTGTATATACCATATATATATATATATAGGCAAAATTTTCGAGATAATGTTCTCGAATTTTTTATTTAACGATATAACGTACTCCCAAGATTAATTGCTCAAATAGGGCGAATTCTACAGTGTTGGCCGTAGGTCGCCATGCCTTCCGGGCGACCTACGGCGTAGCAGCTTCCCAGCATAGGTCGTCATGCACTCCGGGCGACCTTGTAGGTCGCCATGCACTCCTGGCGACCTTGTAGGTCGCCATGCACTCCTCCTGCTCCTTGCGTGATTCCTCTTGCCCTCGGATGCCCTCGCATAGCTCGCTCGAATGGCCTCGGTCGGATGCCCTCGGTCGGATGGCTTCGGATGCCCAACGTGTTGGAACGTGCATGACACATGCAATCTCTCTCATAGCTAGTCGGGAAGACATGGCGACCTAGTAAGTCGCCCGGATGGCATGGCGACCTACGACCAACACTGTAGATTTCACCCTATTTGAGCAATTAATCTGAGGAGTGCATTATCTCGTGAATTAATTTATTCGAGAACGTTATCTCGAGAGTTTAGCCTATATATATATATATATATATATATATATATATATAAGCAATGAATAATTCTAAAACTCAATTAACCTACTATATGAAATAGGGATAGACGTGGGATCTTAACCTAATGAGTTCTGATTCTATCTCATCTGATCGGGTTGAATTTTTTAAAAATAAATTGGGGTTTGAGTCAAGTTGGGTTTAGGATGAACAAAATTCGTCCCGATCATACTTGATCCGAAAAATAATATAAAAATACATTATATATTTAAAGATAATTACAAGAATATCCCTCTTTATATTATTTTTTCAATTAAATTTCTATTTATTAAATAAAATTAATAATTTTTTATTATTTTGGGATGGAACGAATAGAAATCAAATTTTATCTCATAAACCAAGTCGGGTAAAATTACTCTAAACTCGGATCGAATTAAATTTTGAATGAAAATATAAAATTTTTGTGTTGGATCGGATCGGTCAGAAACCCTACCCAACCGATGTTGATCCCTAATATTATGAAAGGTTGGCTATACAGTGTCGGTAGTCAGTCAATCATGGGCCTCAAAATTAGAATGGCTGTGTGGGTGCTAGGGGTGTAAACGAGCCGAGTCGAATTCGAGTATTGTTGAGCTCAACTCGACTCGAAAACTTTGAAATGAAACTCGACTCGAAAACTCGCGAGCTTAAAGTTGTCAAGCTCGAATCGAACTCGAAATCTTAAACTGAAGTTCGTGAGCAGCTCGAAAAGGCTCGAAATGAAGAAAAAAATTCTTAAACTTAACTCGATTGAAGCCTCAAACTCGAACTTAAACTTTAAATACAATAAATCTTAATGTATTTTTTATAAAAAAATCAATACATAAATATTAATATTATTAATAATTTATTTCTAAAAAATAAAATTTTAATATATTATATTTTCGAGCTGCTCACGAGCTTTTCGAGTCGAATATCTAGTAGCTCGTTTCGGCTCGTTAAAAACTCGAGTCGAGTCCATTCGATCCGAATATTTATCGAGCATTTATTGAGTCAATTTCGAGTAGCTCGCGATCTGTCCCGTCTCATTTACAGCCCTAGTGGGCGCAACCGAGTCAAATCATGTAAGGCTAGTTGTCCTGTTAGAAACCAAACAAACTAACATGGACATGTTAATGAATACATGCTCAAAATATTATATTTAAATAATTGGAAAAATAAATATTCAAATAATGTGGTATCTGAAAATCGCATGTTCAAGCTAAACATATGTTTTGAACTTGATCAGATATGGGTCTTGAACAATGAGGAATATTCGAATTTCTCTGTCATTTGTCTTCTTCAGTCACAATACAGACTAGCATGAGTATAGTAAAATTTAATACTTGTTTTTGACAACTTAAAAACGACACATTTATCATTAAATTTGTTAATGTCACATTATTTAAATTTTTATTTTCTTCAATCTTTTAATGGTTATTTTTTTTACTATAACGATGTGAAAAAAATTACTTGAATAATGGTGAACTAAAATTATTTATTTGAATAATTCATATATTACCGTGCCCCTAAATCAAGGAACACAATGCAACTCGAATTGGGAGATGCATTGTGCTCTAATTTTATTTTTTATTTTAATTTTTTTGGTAATAATAGTCAAAATTAAATTAAAACCCTAAATCCTAAACCATAACTCCTAACATTCTAACTTTAACCCTTAAATTTTAAACCTTAAATCGTAAATCATACATACAATTTAGACCCTAAACCCTAAACCTTATATCCAAAAAATTAGAGGAAAAAAGAAATAAACTATGAGAGACGTATTGCACTCCATGTGTCTTCCCAAAATTATATTAGAGTCGCATTGTACTTCATGTATCTTAAATTGTATTGTAATAAATACCCTATTTCATAAAATAATTCAGAGTGACCATTATTCGAGCCAATAAAAAATTTCAACACGTTATCTAAAATTTTACCCCATTTTTTAATATATAATTTTTAAATATACACTAATTAAGTGATTAAAGATAAAATTTATACATACACGTCGTCGTGCTTTTTAACTCGAAGAAATACATGTCTTCAACACATTATATTTTTTTTTCTAAAAAAATGTATACTTTTTTTACATTTTTAATTTGTTTATTATTTTATTTTGACGTTTGGCACTATATTTTTGTTTAAAGATAGATGATTTAAAAAATAATTTGAACTAAATATTAAGTTAGGAAATCTTTTTGAATGATATTTCAATAAAAAAAGACAAAATAATTGGTCTGATTTTGAAGAAGGGATTTGTAAGCAATCAGCTCTTGTGATGATAATTAATATCATATCAATAATACTCGAAGCTTATGGATTTGTGAATATAATACAAAAACAACTTATAGGGATAACTTTCACATCCCAATCAAATCAAATCAAATCATACAGAACATGCTGATGGACTCAGATGAGTTTTCTCAGAATATGATTGCATTGGAAACAATAAATTACTACCAAGTATTGGACTTGGAGATTTGAGCAAAAATCCTTTGAGATGCCGTGGCAGACAGAAGATCCTGTGGATTGAAAAGAACCGATTAAGTCTCCGACTACAATTAAGTTTGTAAACGGCAACATTCAACTGCTTGTTCCAAGTTGAAATATTTTCTTTCCGCCGCTGCAAAATCGAGGTAAAGCTGAAGTGGTAGACAGAGAACTTGAAAACGAGTTTTACGTTGCGTTTGTTTTTGCATAGGTAAAAGGTCTATAGTTTACGGATCACATTTACAGGTATCTGTAATAGAAGAGATGGACCAAAAGTCTGCAGTCTACAAGAAGAATACTGTTTGTTTTTTAACGTATACAGACCGCTAAAATGAACTGAAATATAAATAAACTGATTTTTTAAACTTAAAAGAGTTTTGTAATACTGATATTTAAATAATTTTAGTTTTACAATACTGAAATTTAAATAATTCATACAACTACAATAATAAATTATTTAAAATAAATAAATCAATATTTTAAAATAAATCAATACATACTAATAAAT